TTCGGGTAGCTGCCGCTAGGCTGTTACAGCAGAAGTCAGGAACTGTCAAATCACAGAATGAGGTAGATAAAGATTTGGATTCAACAGCAGGATCTGGGCAGAGAGCAGGTGAGAGGAGGAAGAGTGGAAATGCAAGGAAGACTGCTTCTTCCACGGAGAGAAGGAATTTGGTGCAATCATATTGGAATTCCATGAGTTTGGATGTTAAGAAAGAATTGCTTAGTATTAGAATTTCAGATCTTAAGGCACATTTTAGTTCGTCTAAGGATCGTTTGGCTATTGAAGTGCTATCTGAGGCTCTTGCATTTGCCAAGACAAATAAAACTTGGAAATTCTGGACATGTTGCCGCTGCAGTGAAAAATTTGCAAACTCAGAATCACACATTCATCATGTTGTGCATGATCACATGGGTGCTTTGCTGCCTAAAATGCAATCAGTTTTGCCTCAAAGTGTGGAGAAAGAGTGGGCTGAGATGCTTCTGAACTGCTCTTGGAAACCATTAGATGTTAATGCAGCAGTGGAAATACTTGATAAACAATCAAGATCTCAGGGTCATGGTTTTCTAGATGAGTCCTATGAAAGAGATGATGGAGAGGGGTCAAAGGATGACTTTTTGGAGGCTTTCTGCCATGAAGACGAGTGGGGCACATCACCTAGAAGGAGGAAATTAGGGGATAGACCCAACAGAGATATGGTTGAGAGTAGAAAAAATGATAAGATCTCAGACATTGACTTTATGGATTGTGATGGAGAGGGTGGTCCGAAGATTCATTTACTTCCTGAAGGCTTGCCGCTGTCTGATGACCCTGAGCGAGTAAAGCTTCTTGAAAGAATCCATGCTGTGTTTGAGACTCTTATCAAAAATAAATATCTTGCTTCAAGTCACCTCAGCAAGGTTATTCACTTTGCAGTGGAAGAGCTTCAGGGTCTTGCTTTTGGCTCTAAACTTCTTAACTGCAATATTGATCAGAGTCCTTTGTGCATATGCTTTTTGGGTCCCGAAGAACTTAAAAAAATACTAAAATACTTACAAGAACTTTCTCATTCTTGTGGCTTAGGTAGATATCCTGAGAGAACTGGTTTTCTGGACGAAACAAGCAATGGTTGTCATGGATTTGACGATCTAGAGAAAATAGTTTTCAGTGAGGATGACACATGTTTGTTGTTTGATAAGCAGTTCCTGCAACACAATCTTTCTCCCAGCTCGTGTCCTAATGCAGTTTCTAATGATAGACCTGCAGCAATTTTGTCTGGTAATCAGTACCAAAATGGAGTTATAATTGATTCAGATGCATTACTGTCCTGGTTATTCACTGGTCCATCAAGTGTGGAAGCACTAGCATCATGGACACGTGCAAGAAAAGAGAAAGCTCAACAGGGTATGGAAATTCTTCGATTGCTTGAGAAGGAGTATTACGACCTACAGGGTTTGTGTGAGAGAAAATCTGAGCACCTAAGTTACGAGGAAGCACTGCAGGCAGTAGAAGATCTTTGCTTAGAAGAGGGTAAAAAAAGAGAACATGAAATAGAATTTGTCCGGCAAAGCTATGATTCTGTCTTGCGGAAGCGACGAGAGGAGCTCATAGAAAGTGACAACGAAGTTACGATTATCAGTAGGTTTGAGTTGGATGCTATATCAAATGTTCTGAAGGAAGCAGAATCTCTCAATGTAAATCAATTCGGATTCGAGGAAACATACGGTGGTGGAACATCTCAATTTTGTGACTTGGAATCTGGCGAAGAGGATGATTGGAGACTGAAAGACTATCTGCATCAGGTGGACTCTAGCGTGGAAGTTGCAATACAGAGACAGAAGGAACATGTTTCCATTGAGGTTGGTGCATCAGTTACCGTGTAGTGTTCCTTTTTCGATTTTCTGTGTTGCTTTCTTGCCTTCTGAACTTACAATTTCATGGGTGCAGTTGAGCAAAATTGATGGTCGAATCATGCGGATGGTTACAGGGATGCAACAGTTGGAAGTGAAGCTTGAGCCTGCATCTGCCCAAGATTACCGGCAGATTTTAGTGCCTCTATTGAAGTCATTTATGCGGGTATCTACTGTTTTGAAGCACTTATGCTGCTCTTAGGATCTTTTACCGCTGTTTGCCTTCCTATCCTCTTGTCGTTTAGCCTTTGTCTTTCTTCTTCTGAATTCTGATTAGGATGATTGTTTTTTCTCATTTTTAGGCACACTTGGAGGACGTGGCTGAGAAGGATGCAACTGAGAAGTCTGATGCTGCAAGGGATGCTTTTCTGGCTGAACTTGTTCGTGATTCTGCGAAGAGTTCAAGTGGGGGCAATGAGAAGTCTAAACATGCCCATGAAAAGACAAAGGACAAGAAAAAAAACAAAGAGTATCGAAGAGCAAAGGATTCAAAGGTTTGAGCTGTGGGTCAAACTTTGGTATCTGAAGCAGTTGTTTATGTATAATGCTGGGAGGAGGTATAACATGTTTCCTCTTTCTTGTGCAGCCTAACAGTGGTAACGAAACGCATGTGCTTCGCCATGAGATTGTGGAAGATGTGTATGTCTCTTTCTAAAGACCTATTTCTCCATTGACATACACTCTAGTTATGCTTCTGAGCAAACCCTCTACAACCTTTAATTCATTTCGCTGGTATGTTTTGGTGCAGCTCATTTGCTGCTCATGATGGCGATGATCAAGACAGTCAAATTCCTCAAATTGGTAATTCCTTAAATCTACAGGAGGAGGAGTACAGACGTATGATTGAGCTTGAAGCCGAGGAAAGGAAGCTTGAAGAGACTTTAGAGTATCAAAGAAGAATTGAGAATGAGGCTAAGCTGAAGCATCTGGCCGAGCAACACAAGAAATCTGCAAGAACAATTCAAGAGAATATGGGTGCAGCTATGAATCTTGAAACTTGCCCTTATCAAAAAATGTATCCTGACATTTACTTGAATTGTTGTGATATTGATCAGAAAATCAGTGAGCAATTGAAGAGTAGCGAGAAGGTTAACACTCTGATTCTAGGCTTTCTTCTGTTAGAACCTTTGACATTCTGATTTCTCATGCTGTTAAAACTAAGGCCTTGAAATGTCTTGATGGTACACCTTGACGATGCTGCTAATATCTTTTATACCTATGAAGTGATTGTAACATATGACTTTCCTTGATGCAGAACAATGTACTTCCAAACAGTTTAGAAGGTCCTTCAAAGAACTTTCCAGAAGTAATGGCGCAAAGAGATGGTATGGCTCTTGACTAGTGACTGGAATAATTTATACTTCCAAAGTAATCTGTACCGCAAGGTTCCAGAGTTAGGATGATGTCATCTGAACATGCTATCATTTTTTCTCTTATTCTGGATTGTCAAACAAAGAGAGTCCAGAGGATGGTGTATTGATAGCTGATAAACGATCTGCAAGAAAAGGCAGGCGCCAGAAAGGTTCGACTAAATTTAGTGAGGGGAAGTATCAATCTGGTTCTTCTGAAAGGGAAAATACTGCAGTTAGTGAATCAAGAGCTCTGGATTCTTCACATGGTGAGTATGTATTTAGCTGCTTCTTGTTTCTGTATGGTGACCTCTTTTACTTCTCCAACTTGAATGGGTGGTTGATGCTTTTGCAGTTTTCTGCTAGTCGCTGTTATTTTTACCTGTAAAGGAGTTCATAGTGTCAGAATCACAGATTTCCTGGTTGTTAAAAAAAGCTGGTAGTCTCAGAAAGCATTTATTGTTGTAAAATAGGAATTATGTACTTTAAAAAGTTTCTGTGTACCTTTTTTTCCTTGCATTCATTTTTTGGTTCCTTTTTACCTATAATAAAAGTGGAAAATATTGTGGTTGAATCCTTGCCAAGTTTTGAAGGTAGAGAGGGGCTGAGCAATGCCTGGCACTATATGTATATCCCTTATTTACCAAAAAATATAATCCATGTCTTGGTGCATTCAGTCTGTTGGCAGTTTCTCTGGAAATTTTTGGGTTTCCTCCTCCATGCTTGCTTGAGTTTAGTCTTTGCTTTAGCATCCAGAAACTGCTAGAAACAGAAGACAGGCGTATGCAGAGGGCAGCAATACTTGATTTATTTTTATTTCTCTGGCTTTTATTTGTGTAGGTTTTTCGCAGGCTTGTTGGTCTTCTACCTTTTAACATGCTTTAGTAGTTACTTCAGAGTTTAGGGAAAGCTTCTAGTATAGGTGTATAAAAATGATGATCTTTTTGGATTCAGTTAGAATTCTACTACTCCTTATTGACTCTCCTGTATTCCAGAAAATATCCAGTAATCTAAACGTACTTATCGTGGCCCTTGAGTGACAGTTTGCCAAATGAAAATGAACAGTTGCATTTTGACGGGGTTCGAATCAATGAAAACTTAGCTCAAGATAGGGCACAATGGAAGAAAAAAATTCATATAGGTGATACTTATTAGTTGAGAATAGGTCTTATACTTGTAAAGAAATTCTACTACTATTATTATTGTTATTATTATTATAGTGTGTGTGTGTGTATTAACTTCTTTTTTACTTTCACTTTTATTTTATTTTGGTATGACGGTGATATAAGATAAGCTTAAAGAAAGATGTGAGGATTCATATAGCTGGCCCCAACGGGACTGAGGTGTAATAGTTGTTGTTGCTGCATGTTAAAGGGGATTTCATACATGCTCGATGACTTTAACGTACCCCATGAGTGACTGCATTCAGGAAGTGTCTGTTTTATAGTTTAAATTCCTTCTTGCTTTTTTTTAATCACTTAGTGTTTAGTTGTTTGCTATATGCGCAAATGAATGTGGGCTCAATGGCAGTGCCTATTACTTTGGAAAAAGCTTTGGGATTGTTGAAGAATGATATTCTCGTGATAACTCCGCCTGTGTCGTAGTTAGTGTCTTCTCTATAACACAGCCGGTCCCAAGCCCGGAGAAAGGAGGAGGGTCGTTTTGTTGACCCATTGACTTGAAACACAAGTAATTTTTTTTTTTTTAAATATTGAAACAGAGAGTTCATTGTTCATTTCATCAAAGATAGATTGACTTGGTTTAAATGTTATGACGGCTTCTAGGATTGGTACTTTATTGGTCGATTCACAGTTATAAGCTGTCTTTTGTAAAGTTGGACCACATACAGTAATTGAATATTTGAAACAAAGAAATCAACATCCAAGCTATTTACTGTTGGTATCAGAAACAGTGATTGGTCACCCCAGTCATCTCTTCCATTTCTTCATTGTTTTACTTTAGAGGAGTAAGTCATCTTGGTTACAGATGAATGATATTGTAATTGTCGCATTACTTGACCATATACTCAAGTTGGCATGTTACGCTGTTGCTAAACTGTGAGAACAAATTTAGTACCAGCTCTATGATCCTTTGGCTAAAAAATCTTTGGAGTCACTTTTATAAAAGAAAAACATTTGGAGTTATTTGGCCAAGTTGAGATCCTATCCCCTTTACTGCCCCCCTCTATAGAAATTAGAAGAAAAAGAGCCAAGCTGGTGCCCCCTCTATAGAAATTAGAAGAAAAAGAGCCAAGCTGGTTGGTGGCAATATGTGCTGTGCCAATATTTTTCCTTTAAAATTCAACTACAAAACTGTTTTATGCTCTGCTCTGTTGAAGTGAACTAAATTCACTACCATTTAATTTTGATCTAGAAAAGAATGGTACCAGAGATAGTGGAACAAAGACATTGAGACAGCTACATGTGGAGGAGGATGATGAAGAAAGGTTCCAAGCTGACCTTAAGAGAGCTGTACGCCAAAGTCTTGGTATGTCTATTATCTTTCTTCGCCGATAACAAGCTCCCCAAGATAGTTTTAATTTTTGTTAACTTAGGCTGTCTCTATTTTGTTTTATTAGTAGTCTACGATGTTCCCTATCTGTATCAAATTCACTGCTTAAGCTTGATGATTAGAAGGACTACTTATCTACCCTCTGTTTCTCCTATCTTCTCTCAAATTGAGACCCTCTCAAATGGTTATGAATTCTGAAGGAGAATGGCAAGCTAGTTTGAGTCTTGAGAAGTGGTGGTGGCGGCTTAGGTTTTTCCATTTGTCTTGAAGAGTTAACTGCTTTATATTTTCCCTCTCCTGAATGTTCAAGTGACTTCTCCCTCGTTCTCTCTTTTTATGTCAGACGCATTCCATGCACATCAGAAATTACCCTTGAAGGCAAGTTCAGGGGCACAGAGGATGTTCTCTGAAACCAGGGATATGGGTGGTGAAATAAGCGTTGGGAATGTCAATGAAATGGATGTATATGGCACTGGGCTAAAGAATGAAATTGGAGAATACAATTGCTTTCTAAATGTCATTATACAGGTTAGCGTTTACAAGTGCTAGTTCACTTTGTATATCGTGTTTCAAAATTTCTTGAATATCAAGTGTGTTCTCTTTTCCCCGTTTTAGTCATTGTGGCATCTAAGACAATTTCGAGATGAATTTTTGAGAAGAACACCATCAGAGCATGATCATGTTGGTGACCCATGTGTGGTATGCGCTTTATATGACATATTTACTGCTCTGAGCATGGCTTCTACTGAGATGCGAAGAGAGGCTGTTGCTCCTTCTACTTTGAGAATTGCCCTCAGCAACCTTTATCCCGATAGTAATTTCTTCCAGGAGGTAATATGAAACTCTGTTGAGCACCCTCATATATTTCTAGGAGACAGCTTCTTTGATTTCAATTAACAAAATATTGACTCACAGGCTCAAATGAATGATGCTTCTGAAGTACTGGGTGTGATATTTGATTGCCTACATCGGTCATTTATATCAACCTCAGGTGTTTCGGATACTGAATCTGCAGATAGCAGCTGTATGGGCTCTTGGGATTGCTCAAGTAGTGCTTGTATTGTGCATTCTCTTTTCGGAATGGATATTTTTGAGCAGATGAACTGCTACAATTGTGGATTGGAGTCCAGACATCTGAAGTACACATCGTTCTTTCATAATATTAATGCCAGCGCTCTCCGAACAATGAAGGCATGTTCTTTGAGGCAATTTTGTGATGGCACATTAGTTTCCGTTCAGTAAATTAATCTTTTGAAGTTCAGCAAGACATTTTCTGGATAATGCGCAATTTGCTTTACTGTTATTGCGGGTTATTTGCTTTCTCAACAGTTTACGGAGTTTTTTGTTCTTTCTTTCAGGTTATGTGTCCAGAAAGCTCGTTTGATGAGCTTCTGAATCTTGTTGAGATGAACCATCAGTTGGCTTGCGATCCCGAGGTTGGTGGATGTGAGAAGCTTAACTATANTCCCGAGGTTGGTGGATGTGAAAAGCTTAACTATATTCATCACATTCTCTCTGCTCCGCCACATGTTTTCACAACGGGTAACTATATTTTCTGCCCCCCTCCATTTTGGTTGCCATGGGTGATGGAAGAATCTTCGGAGAATCATATTTGTTTCTCATGTAATTTGTTTTCCCCCCATGCAGTTTTAGGTTGGCAGAATACTTGTGAGAGTGTAGATGACATAAAAGCAACATTATCAGCTTTATCTACTGAAGTGGACATTGGCATCCTTTATCGCGGTCTTGATCCGAAAAACAAGCATTACTTAGTTTCTGTGGTAAATGTTTGGTATTCTTTTGTCTGCTGTTTCCTTCTATGTATTTCTAGGGGCATTAAAGTATTTAAATTTCTCTGTACTAGCTCGAAACAAAATATAATCAAGTCACTGAAACTCAATATTCAACTCCATCCATATTTCAGATACTCAATTTCCTGCTCCTATTTTGATAACTCTCTCATGTTTCTTGTAAATGTTATATTGTAGTTTCAGCTCATTTACTTGGTTCATAAAACCATGTCAATTGTTTATTGCTTTTAAAATATCATGTGCAAGCTGGTTCATCCTTCTTTTTTATCATTTCAACTAATTGATGAGTACTTTTTGTCATCTTTCATGAAGAGAAGTACTTTTGTGATTGTTTCTTTTTTGTACATAACGCCTTATTTTCTTGAAGATGAGTAAAGGTGACTATTTGATCAGGCCGAGTTCATTTTATTCCATTTTTCGGTATTATCTTGTTTGTTTCAAGAACATTGTCTATATTGTTCTCCAGTCTGAGCTTGGGCCAATTACAGATCTCAAATATAAAGCTTCTTTTTGGTTTGGGTATTATCTTGTTTGTTTCAAGAACATTGTCTATATGGTTCTCCAGTCTGAACTTGGGCCAGTTACAGATCTCANGGGGGGGTTTCTCCTATGCGGATATTTTCTGTACTAATCCTAATATGCTTGAGCTTTATGTTTCTTTGCTCATCTGGATATGCTTAAGCTAAAGTATATCTTTCATGTTGCTGAGTATAAGGATTACTTTGTTGTACGAAAAAAGTAGAGTAGGAATACTTACTATGTGAGGTACTTTTGGTTATTGAACCATCTTCTGTTTGTATTCTAACAAGTGTATTTAATTCTGGTGTGGGATGTGTCTAAAGATGGATGATCTTATTGCTTGATATTTATTTCAGGTTTGCTACTATGGACAGCATTATCACTGTTTTGCCTACAGTCGTGATCGTGGACAGTGGATCATGTATGATGACAAAACCGTGAAGGTAATATTCTGTTTCTTCTCATTTTTCTTTCTTATTTTTTAATAAGATTCTGTTATTATGGATATTTTATATACAGGTAATTGGTGGCTGGGATGATGTTCTAGTTATGTGTGAAAGAGGGCATTTGCAACCGCAGGTCCTTTTCTTCGAAGCTGTAAACTAGTCCAGCTAAAAGCTGATCTGGATTTTCGCTTGTTTCTTTGAAGCTGTAATATATTTCAGCTTAGAAAATACACCTCCATATACTGCAATGAAGATGTGCCATTGGGCTTCTCCATTCAATCGTCAAAGGCAAGATGATACTTGTGCACTGATGTTATTCAATTGACCTGCAAAGTTACAAAATCATGTGAGAAACTGTACTATACTGTCAGAAGTTTGTTGGGATGAAGAGAAAGTAAAGCAATTGGTCTGCTACCAAGGAAAACTTCTTCGAATTTGTGTATTACGATGGAGTTTTTCAGAGGATAGGAAAGAAAAGTGTAAGTTTTGGTGCGCTTGATACCTGGTAGCATCGGCAGAGTCAAGTTTTTGCAGCATCCGGAAATTTTGGAATCCTTACAATAATAAGGTGGCGTGGTTGAAGAAAGAAGTACTACCCACCAGTTACCTGGTCACGAGGAACGTATAGATGTTTGATTTCGCATTGGTAACTTAACCTGCTATTGCCAGATATTGCTTCTGTACACAGGAAATTCTAGGTAATGATCATATATCTTCCTTTTTCAATGTAAGCAGGTCTGTATAGATTGGTCTTTTAAGTGATGCAGCGAATAGTAACTCTTCATTTATTTTGTTTTTCCCTCTTTGAGGAAAAAAGAATTTTGAGTGCCCAGAGGTTATGGGAACTTTGTATTACGGATGTCTACGATAATTTAATGAAAGGGAAGACCTATGTTTGTTCTTCAAGCCGAAAAGCACCTCAGTAATTCAAACTTTCCCGTTTGACTTTTTTTAAATTCCAGCTTGAGCTTCCGTCTTTTTTTTTTTTTCTTTTTTTTGTTGCCGATCATGGTAGATTAACATGTTTGCCTAAGTTTCTCCGAGGCTAAAAGTACTCTCTTTAAAAGTTTTTATCAAAGTTGAAGTGTTTGACTAATAGTTTGTTTGGCTAAGCTTCTAAAATTAACTTATTTTGAGAAGATTTTTTTTTAAAAGTACTTTTGGTGAGAAGCAGTTTGTGTCTGAGTAATTAATTTGAAAAGTACTTCTGAGCAATAATTAGTGTTTGGCCAAGCTTTTAAAAGTGTTTAAAGTGTTTTTTTTCAAAAATATTTTTCAAAAAAGTGCTTTTTGGATAGAACCTACTTTTTTTTTACTTCTCCAAAATTGCTTTTACTAACACTTTTTTTCAAAAAAAAAATCACTTTTGAGTAAAAAAAAGAAGTGCTTTTGAGTAGAAGAAAAAAAAGTGTTTTTGAGTAGAAACAACAAAAGTTTTGGAGAAGCAGAAAAAAATTGTCTCTCCCCAAAAGTACTTTCTTGAAAACACTTTTGAGAAAAATATACTTATCAAAAGTTTGGTCAAACATTAATTAATACTCAGAAGTACTTTTCAAATTAATTAGTCAAACACAAATTATTTTTCACCATTTCTTTTGAGAAAAATACTTCTCAAAATAAGTTGATTTTAGAAGCTTGACCAAATATGCTATAATTATGGGGTTCCGATATTTGTTTTTCTTTTCTTCTTAATGTCTTGTTGTGTTTTTAATTGTATTTTCTTCAGGGAGAATTACACAAAAATACAGTTTACCTACATACGTTGCAGCAGAATAACCCAGTTACAACTTTGCAAATCTGTAGCCCATTAACAACAGGCCAAAGTTTGAAAAATAAGCATTTTTTTTTATTCTACAGATCTTCAAGCACGAAAATTCGGTGATTTTTTATTCTTCTTCCCCAAGTTTGTATATATTCCTATTCCATCTACAAAAATTCAAATTCATATATAATGCAACTTGAAAACCTTAAATTTTCTTCTTTTCCAAGTTCCAAATAGTATAAATAAAAAATAAAAATTGAAAAAACTATTGGACGTTCATGAATTTGCAAATAAATCAACAAGAAAAGTCGATTTATATATAGATTGAACATATAAAATTTTAATTTTAGATTTAACTACACATGTGCATTACATGTATAATGATGTATAACTTTGTATAAACTTGTATATACAATCTCTAATAATGTATACCAGAAAAATAAGACAAAGAAAAAAAGAAGAAAAGTGTCAAACATCCATGGATGCCTATTATACACGTACAATGTATATACACACTTATACATTAAATATCTAATTTATACAACGTTGTATGCATATATACACACTTATACATATTTATACAATATTGTATAAGTGTGTATAAATACTACCTGTACAAATTTACACTAGAAAATACCTTCTGTCCATCACCACATTACAGTTTTCGGTGGTTGTTGGTGTTACATTTTTCCGTCGAGGTTTTGGCATTCAAATCTGGGTTTCACCAGTAGCAAAAGATGAAACAAAAACTAAGAGAAATAAGAAAATATGAGACGAGGTCGCCGGAGATGCTCTTTTAGGCAAGATCTGATACTTTTAGGCCAGATCTGATAGTTTTTGGACTGATATGCCAATTTTTTTTGTGGTTCCTTAACCTCTCTTTTGTCAATTAACTCAAAAATCGAAATCTAATTGACATAGAATGCGAGGATTATCACGAGTGTGTACAAAAAAGTTCTATAATTTAGGGAGAACGAAGAGAGAGGCAAGTGAAGAGAGATTGAGTATGCTGGGAAAGAAGAAAGAAGAAAAGAAAAAACCCTAGAAGTATGTCTTTAATAATGGGCTAAACACCGAAAAGTTTCTTTCAAATTATATACAACCTAGGTCAAACCGGATAAAGACTTCAAACCTAGACCACTTTTAATTGGACTGCTATGCCAAGTGGTTAAATACGTAATTCTTTCTTTTCTTAATGCCTTGCAAAGGATGTTGACAAGTATATTTATTACTTGAGTAAACCATGTCAACTTTATATTGTTAAAGTAGTTTGTTTCCCTAAACATACTTTTTTGATAATTGTGGTATTTGGAATAGTTTGCACGCAGACAAATAGGAATAAATTACTTGTGTTTTTGTTTCGTTGAAATTTGAATATGAGATCTTAAATTCTCAACTCACTTTATTAATCTCTAAATTACACTCTTGGGTTTATCTTAGTTTCTTTCCCTATTCAAATAAACAACCTAATTTTTCATCTCCAGATTGCTATAATCATATAAGATCTTAAAGTTGTGTGAGGTCAATAAAGTTGAAATAGTGTCGTAACCATTAAACAATTTGGATTTGGTTTGGGTTGTCTTACCATAAAATATTTTAGTTAATTCTTCAAATAGTCACTCAATTTGATAAATTTTATCTAGCAAAGTTACTCTTTTTTGTTCCAGAACAAAAAAGTTACTGAACTATTTATTTGTTTCTCCAAAAGCCATACACATCGATAAAGAATATAAGAACCATGAAAAGATAAATTTATCCTTTAATGTAAAAAAAATTTATTCGTTTTATCTAACCATGAAAATAT